ATGCGCCCTAAGAGTGTGGTGGGGTTGTCTAACCTCCTTTTTAGCTGCGAAAATCCAGGTCCGCCACTGATCGTTGGTGGACCTGGGCTTTCGCAGCTAAAAGAGTTTTGCGCAGAGAAAAGCGGAAAAAGTGTCTTCATCTTCTATAAACGGCAGAACCACACAAGTATGTATTTACTGACGACTGCCTGGTTCAGATATGGCCCACGCTTGCATGCTAACAAGACTCGATCCATGATTTTTATATGCAAAAACTGCCCCCATTAGCGGATGTGGAAGACATTAACGAATTGTTTTTCGTTTTTCTTATTTGTTCATTTATTTATTTTTGTATTTTTAATGGCTGATGCTCCATCAAGGATTCCATTACTTGCAATGAAACCTTTCGTGGAATAGTAGCTGCTGGTGGAAGGTATTAAAGAAATAATGTAGAGCTGTGTGCGCATCGGCGGTTGTCAATGGGTTTTACTGAGAACTAGAGCATCACTAAATTGTTCTTTTTTTTTGGCGCTACTCTTCCGTTATTACTTACAAAAAGTGTGTTATTGGAAGTTCCGTGACAGCAGTTATGCACTGGGTCTGAGTCAACTAGCAAATTTTTCAAAGTCGTGGCTTTTGTCGCGGTAGTTGCGCAGAAAAGGCTATCTCTCTTGGATGGTCAAGTGTCACTGAAAAAGTTATTATGCTAAGATTTTTGCTTAATCTCGACTACGAGCCTTGAATATTCCAGCGATTTTGCCAACGTAGTCACCATCTTCTTACAGGAATAAGTCTTGGCTTTATATGAATGTTACTTTGATACGAGATTGTCCTGGTGGTTTCGATTTTTTTTCGATTTTTCGATTTTTGATGGTGCATAGGATTTCTTGTCTCATTTGTTGTGTTGCAGTTTGTCCATTGGGTGGCTTATAGGGAATAAGTCTTGGACCTATTATAGGAATGGTTATTTGTACGAATTGTCCTGAGTTGGGTGGGGCGATTTTTTTTTTCGATTTTTCGATTTTTGATGGTTTCGATGTCATCTGAAGACCCACTATTTTGCGCAATTTGTAATTATATGACTTTGCATTTTTTAAAGATAGGATTAAACATGAGCAAAGCGGTTTTTCTAAAACAGCGGTTGGCTGCGGTGGGCTGGCTCTTCACTTGCAACCTAAATATTCGTTGCGGTATTCATACTCGCTGGAGAAGTTCCTGAGCATACTGTCTCCATTTCCAAGGCCGGATCTTCTTTCATAAATGTCAAATTTTGTGAGAGGCTATGGGTTTGAATGACATCAAAAATGACCAACATGATTGGACAAGCCATTAGCCGAAATGATCAGCGGCTCGAAGTGCTTAGTTTAATACTTAACTTTTTTAGCGGAAATTATTCTCCTCGATGGTGTGACCTGCATCTACCGATCAAATGTTGATCTCTACATGTATGTTCTCGGAAGCAGTCGCGAAAACGAACTCGTATTAGAGTCTCTGCTTAACTGCCTGTTTGACGCAATCTCAACAGTGCTCCGGAAGAACGTTGAGAAGAAAGCCCTTATCGATGCCATGGATACATGCATCCTTATCATAGATGAGATTTGTGATGAAGGGTAAGCTTCTACATGAAAACGATTTAAAGCACATTTACATGCTAGGTGTAGCAGGCAGTTCATATGGACATTTTAGATGGTTGTCTTTTTAGAATCATCTTGGAAACAGACCCTCAGTCCGTGGTGTCTCGTTGTGCACTGAAGGCTGACGAAATCTCGTTTTCTGATCAAACCTTCTCTCAAGTTGGAATGTCTTTAATGAGCTCAGCCAAAGAGCAATTCAAATGGTCTCTGTTGAAATAGGTTAGCGGCGAGTACTCTCCTCGTCATTTCGTGTTTTCCTTTTTCCTTGAGTTACAATATTTATTTTGTGATAAAACTGTACAATTGCGTGGGGAGAGTACTCGCTGTTTTCTTTTAAGACTACTTCTACTATTTCACTGATGTGATATATATTGTTTTTGTACTCATTGTGGTTCAAATGTTGAGGGGTGAATTATCGAATAAATAATTTATTATCAAAGTTGCTGCTTGTTCTTGCTGTTCCTGCGAATAATTATTTTGTATAATTCTTATTTCTTGAAGAGCGGTGAGTGCTTCAATTTTGTAGTAACACGGCGGTCCTTTTTTACAGTTCACGTATACTGAAAAAGGGAAGCAGATTGAAACCGTTTGGGTCCCAGTAATTTCTGTTTTGGGGTTCGGTTCGAAGTCTTCGAATCGATATTGTTCCATGAAGGGAAAGTACGATTACTTGGAAGGGTAGCTGAATACCGACTGGAGTATAACATTTGCTTATAATGACGTGTTTATGTCGAACCAAAGGTTAGATGCGCGGAAACAGTGAATACTCCTAGCATAAGAAGTTTTCAGATTTGCTTCTAGAAATGCCTCGAACACGCCCGAAACGGCTTGGCAGTTCGGCAGGGGCCGATGTTTCTCCCCCAAAATTACGAAGAAGTGTAAGTGAACGAAACCGGTTCTGCAGTTGTTGTTGCTTTTTCAAATGGTGATTGAATGTTCCATTCTAGAAAGAAATTGAAGATCTAGTTAAAGTCGGAGAAAGCACTGTGCCCTTCACTTCGGTTGAAAGGAAGTTTTCCTTGCAAGAGATGAGGTAATTTTTTTGTATCATGTTACGCTCAACTGTCTTACATTCTGTCATTTATAAGCTAGAGGAGTAGGGTATTTTATGAGAGAGATTAGGAAATGCAGAGGAGGTTTGTATATGTGATATGTGTATGCGTAATGCTCACCAGTCTCATGGATTTGATTGGGAGATCAGATTACTTGTGGCAGCGGAGGAAAGTGTATTGCTTGTTACCAGACACAGAAATCCTCGACGGGGAGGTTCGTATTTGTTCCGTGGAAGTGTTTTTGTAAACACTTCGAAGCTTTGCTTGACACTACCGCCGTCTTTATAAGTGACTACTCTACCTGAGCGGAAACGCGACTCAACTGAGGTTTCCCCTTCTGACACACTGCAAGGTCAAAGCTGCACTATATGATGTGGGAGCTGGTCAGGTGAATAAAAAGCGAGTATGGAGTGACATCGATAGTTAATATGAAACAGAAAAAATAGGATACTGGAAGGTTTCAGCGTGAAATGCTTCATAAAATTTTATTGATCATTGGAAGCAAGCCTTTGTTCGCTGTCCTCATCCCTATCAGAACAGTGAATCATCGTGCAATGAACGAAATACTCAAGTATGCCTACTATGCTATCGTCAGTCTGAAACCTTCGTGCAGTAATCTCGGTCGGATCACTCGTGGACAACTCGTAAGTGCTGGTACTCTGATATTGGAAGGCTTCCAGCGTCGAACAACTCGACCCTGAATCTTTTTTCACTGGTATTTCGACACTGACAGAGAAGCTGATCTCAATGAAAGTCATTTGGTTGCGCGTCTTGAGAGGGTTTTGAAGCTGAGTGCTTCCCTCGATTTCCTCTATCATACTAGTGATCTATTGCATGACTGCTAATAATTTTTACACCGCTTCTTCGGCTACGATTCGTGGGCTTCAAAAGCGTCAGAATTGGCGTTGTGCATATTTTTTCTGGCCATTAGTTTTTGAGTGTCGCCGCCCATGTCTGTCTGTTGAAGCATCTACTAAATGTTTTCAGGGATGCTCTTCCCGATACTGCCCTTTCCGAAAAGGAGAATCACCCCGATGAATCAAATCAAAAGTTTCAGTGAGTGCTGTGTATTTATGAAATTTTCTGTGGAGCATATTTGGTAAATAGCAGAAAATTCTCCGAGTCAGGGATGAAACTGCTGCCATCACTCTGTCCGGTGTTGAAAACTACTTCTTGCAAGGGAAAATTGCGCAGCTCAATCGAACTCGGGTGAAGCGGACAAAATCGAAGCCGATAGCACATCTAGCCGACGCCAAGTAGGTTTTTTAGCCACCACCAGCAATCCATATTGATGAATTCTTTGTTACTAGCTTGTGTGAAGAGGCAAATGAGAGCGATGAGGAGGAAAACGATGCAGAAACAGCGAGGTTCAGCCATTGCGACCTTGGACTTCTACGGGACTATCTTGTTGTACGCTAAATTGCCTTGACTGATATTTGATCTACAGCCTTAGTTTGAATTACACTCTCAGGAAGAAGACGCCAAGTCCAAAAGCAAAGAAAGCTTCAAGAAAATAACAAAAGATTTCAAATGGTGGACTTTTTGTTTGGCTGGCGGATTCAATTTACTGGTATGATAACCCAATTTTGTTCTTATTGCTACTACGCTAACTTCTTGATAGCTACGGATCCGAAAGAGCCGAAAGGTCCGAAGTAAGCCGATGTTTTTCACAATTCGGCTGTTGTTTTCAGTTATACGGTGTAGGCTCCAAGCGAGCGTTGCTGGAAGAGTTTCGGAAAACTCAGCTCAAGTCATTCCGCACTCTGAGCATTGACGGTTTCAAGGAAGATGTGAATGCAAAATCGATACTTACCAGTATTGTCGACTCCATGAAGCTCAAGGATTGTGAGGTATTTGATCGCTTTCTAGACAGTGTTTGTGCGACTATAGAGGAGGAGTATACGAAGGGAATGAAAGGTTTATATTCAACAAATATTGCCTTATGAATGTGGCTGCCCCCATTGGTTGGCAAAGTTGTCTTCTTTGACAAGATTCTACGATGAAAGTGTTCCAAACATTTGCTGCTAAGAGACACTATCAGAGTCGGCTGCTTCGCCGACAATGAAGCCGGTTAATGTTGCCACGAATTTGTTGAGCATAGGCGCGTCGATGTCTCTGACTGTCGCCCTTATAGGAACCCGTGGAAAAGAGTTCATTTTTACAGCCGAGACGGCGCTCCCTCGTTGAATGGGCAAAGCACATTGCGTCCACCATCGAACGCAATAAACAACAGCTCATCGTCTTGTTGAACAATATTGATGGTCCCAATCTGAGGTATGGTTTCCTTTCAGTCATTATTTATAGACAACCTCGAAGCGTGCACGTTGCTTGTTCCTGAAGGATTGCTTTTTTGGAAACATTTACCCATCATATTCTGGTAGGCGGTAACGGTAAAATGCTTCGCTGACTTTTTCTGAACGATTGATACTTTTCTCCGAGAAAACTGCGCAGCACTTATAATACCATCAACAAAAAGCACATCTCCCGCATCTTGTTTTTCTGTCCAAAAGATCGGTTTTGAGATGGTGGAAGAAGATTTCACATTTACTGCTCATGCATTTTTGGATGAATGATTGAAAATTTTATAAATGATTACTTCTTTTTAGGGATCCATCTGAACAATCGGTTTTGGCAGCATTGGTGGAGAGTCATGCGGTTCTAATGGTGGCCACTGTTGACCACATCAACGCTTCTCTTCTTCATACAAGTGTTAGGCTTTATACCTTGCATCGATCTCATTTATTTTATGAATGCCCAATCAAATTGTTGTCTATTGAAAAAAAACTTTGAAATTTAAGCATCAGTTGCAATTATTTAACTGGATATACTACCGTGCGGACACCTTTATCTTCTCATGGCAGGAGATTCTCGCAGGGCAATCTACTCTGCTTGGGCTCAACCCGAAAAATAATCAGTCGGTTAGTGCACTTACCGTTGGTGCCTTGATTCAGCTAATTATTTGGTATTTTACTCATTCATTTTTTTGTGTTTTTATTGGAATTTAGACCCACTCGCTGTCTTCTCCTCGACGTTTTGTGGCAGTCATTGGCCGCAAACTCTCGTTCCATCCTTCGAATATTTTATGCAATGTTCTTCCACAGCAAGGAACCTGTCGCATTCTGGGACCTTTTCACTGCTGCCAAGTAAGCGTCTGCTTCTGAAGTAGTTGTGTTCATATGGAGAATTAGATTTGCAACAAATTTGAACTAACTTATGTTTCTCAGGGACGAATTTCTTGTTTCGTCAGATACCGCTCTCCGTCAGCAATTAGTGGAGTTCAGCGACCACCGCATTCTTAGGTAAGTGTGGATGCGTTGTGCAGTAGGATTTACTCGTTGAAGCGGTCGTCCACTGTAGTACAGGTCGTCCCAAAACACGGAACATGGGCGTTGAGATTCACCATTTTATTAGGCAAAAGTCATCGATTATTTTTTGTTGCTAGTAATTATTTTTTGCAGGAAGGTGTTGTTGTGATGTGCTAAATTGGTGGGGTAAAATCCTTACTGTCTTTGGTATGGATCATTTTAGTGCGACCATGATCATTCGCATGCATGAGCAGGTCTCCATCCACAATGGACATAGCCAAATATTTTGCAGCTGAGCTGAACAGAAGATTACGAAACGATACTAGGAAAGAGTGTCCCATCACAAGAAGGCAAAGGAGCTGAGCGAGTTCGTCCATGGAACACATGAGCACTGTAAAGCTACATAGCTCATCCCT